TTAAATACAACTGGACAGTTGGCTGCTATGTACATGTCTTAGCTACAACTGGACAGTTGGCTGCCATGTACATGTCTTAGCTACAACTGGAAAGTTGGCTGCCATGTTTTGCCAGACTATAATGATGACCATACATTGTAGATTCATCTTGCTCACCAAGTGATGCTATGAACAACATATGGCCATCAATTGTAATACACAGTAAGTACATACATGGAATGGAACCAGTTGCCATATACAACACATATAGCAGTCATGTACGGTAACACATCTGCTGTTGTATTATATGACAAAGTAACAAATATGTGTTCATGTGATGGCCATTGTTCGATGGTAACAGCCTTCAATGACACTGTTGTTGCTTTGTACAATCCATAGGCATAACCACTTACAGTGTCATGCATCCAAACAATCAAATGTCACCATTTTTATCAATACTTATTTATCAAGATAACAAATTCACCTGTGCAACTTGTTTTTTTTCGTCTTCCAAATGTCTAACATGTTCTTCAAGTTCTTTGATATAGTGCAGCGTTTGTTCTGAGAATCAACAATACAAAGAGCAATTAAAATATAATTTTCACTCAGCAGTGCTGTTTCCATGACAACCAACATTGACAAATATGCAGGTAGTGATTAAAGTTAGGCAGGATCATATCTAGTGAGTGGATTATTTTAAGCTGCACTGTGTATTCAAAGTTTGGCCTTAGCTGTAATGAAACAAATGTATGACATACAAACAGAAATAATTACAAAGTAGATTATATATGTACTTGTAAAAAACATCACATTCAGATTAATTCACCGATGTCCAAAAAATTATTACATTATTTACATTAGCTGATCATTTAATTCTTATTTGTATACATAAAATATGTATTAAAGTATTAGTAGGGAGAAGCAGATCTGTGAAGCATTGATAAAAACAAAAACAACAAATTTTGGCATCAAATTTTTGTGAATTTTCGTCAGCAGTCATAATGCCTGTATTTCAATGTAATAATGAGTATGGTATTACATTGATAAAATTGGTACAAAGACTTTTCCAAAAATTAAACAAATTTCCAAATGA